GGCTTAGGTGATTCTCTTGCCTCAGCCTCCTGAGTAGCTGGGACTACAGGTGCCCACCACAATGCCTGGCTATTTTTTGTTGCAGTTTGGCCAAGGCCAGGTTCGAATCTGCCATCCTTGGTACATGGGGCCGGCACCCTGTTCACTGAGCCACAGGCGCTGCCTGGTATAGTGAGTGCTGATCACACCACTGGATACAGTGAGACTCTGTTGCTAAAAAAAGAAAAAGAAAAAACAATCTGTATACTCATATGTTTACTGAGTAAACTATTTAATGAATTCCTGTGTGTGAGTGTGGTGATTGGGAATAATTTGCAAGTAAACTTTGGCTTCCATTCTAACTAATTATCCCAAACTAAATCTGTATCATCAATTTCCAACATGTAATCCAGATATACCTAAAACACAAAAAGAAAAGAACCTCACAATTCAGTTGGTGGTGGTGGTGGTGGTGACAGTGGTAATGCTGTTAAGAATTGGTGCTGTGGGCCTGGCGCCTGTGGCTCAAGTGGCTAAGGTGCCTACCACATACACCTGAGCTGGAGTGTTCAAATCCAACCTGGGCCTGCCAGACAACAACGACGGCTGCAACCAAAAAACAGCCAGGTGTGGCATGGCACCTGTGGTCACAGCTACTTGGGAGGTGGAGGCAAGAGATTTGCTTAGCCCATGAGTTGGAGGTTGCTGTGAGCTGTGATGCCACAGCACTCTACCCAGGGGGATAGCCTAAGGCTCTGTCGCAAAAAATAAAAGAATTGGTGCTGTGCCCTGCCATTACCTTAGATGGCTGGGGTCTGCATGGAAGGAAAATGTCCCGCTTTTCTTACAAACTAAACTGGGGAATCCCCTAATTCTTTGAGGCTTAAATGGGTGGTGTACTAATAATCCAGGGAATCAGGAGCATAAATTCCAAGGAAAGCAGAAATAAGGCACAGTATATAAGGAGATTTATCCTCATCTACCCTGTGCCTTGTGGAGAAGGGAGGTCTGGCTAAGAATGCAGACTTTACAAGTTGGAAGCTCCATCAGATACCACTTAATCCAAATCCTCCTTGAATACATGGGCTGCATTTTGCCAATAACCAAGCATTAAGTCACTGTGAGTGCCAGACTGGACTCCCTATCTTCATATCCAGTGGTCTGCCTATGAGAAGGCTTGACCTCCTTTTCTGCCTTAATGCCTCTCACTCCACTGGCATCCATATAATCAAGCCCCTTTCTTGACTGATGCTTGAGTGTGGGTACTTTGAGAGGGTTAGTTAGGCTTTTATAATGGAAGGATGAGAAACCACTAGCTCACACATTTGTTAACACAGCACCACTTTTGTGAGGGGTTGGAGGAGGTCTATGTTTATGCTAGGTAAACACTTAGTACTGCATACATCTGCACTTAGTACTGCATACATCTTTTCCTTTATTTAATTACTTCGTTTTCTTCTTTTTGAGACTGAGTCTCACTCTGCCACCCTATGTAGACTGCTGTGGCATCATAACTCACAACAACCTCCAACTCTTGGGCTCAAGCAATCCTCTTGCCTCAGCCTCCTGAGTAGCTGGGACTACAGGTGCCTGCCACAACACCCCCATTTTTTTTTTTTTAAGAGATGAGGTCTTGCTCTGGTTTAGGCTGGTCTTGAACTCCTGAACTCAGGCGATCCACCCACTTCGGCCTCTCAGAGTGCTAGGATTACAGGTATGAGCTACCGTGCCCAACCACATTCCGTCTCTTTGAATCAAAAAGGTATTGATTAAAGTAGGTATAACCCCTGTTTTAGCTATTTCCAAGGTTCTTCAAAGGAACAAAGGGAAAAAAACAATAGTTCTTAGGCCTCCAAAATAGTACATAGGCCTCTTATAATAAGCTCATTATAATACTAATACTCTTGTAACTCTGAAATCAATAGTCTCCATTTGCCCTAACTTCCTTTCCAACCTGCCTTCTGTCTATTTGCCTTCTGTCTTAGTTTTGTCACTGGGACCAACATTTCTCAAGCCTCACATGTTAGAATGCTGTCCTCCTCCTTACCTTTGTGTCTTGATATAAAAACTGGAGCCAAATTATGTTCTTATTTCAACACATCATGCTCAACCCCATGTCTGTCCCCATGCCAGTCCCCTAATAATTCACTGCCAAACAACTGCTCTGGCCTGCAGTATAGGGCCAGCAGAGTACAGTGGCTTGCATGGCAGGCTTTGCCTGGCTCAAGTCCTGAATGTGACACACACTAAATGGGTAACTTCAGCACTACTCAGTCTCTTAGTTTCCTAATGTGTGAACATAGATGGAAATGATAATAGTGCATAATGCATATGATCGCCCTGAGGACTGAATGCAGTTAAGTATAAGGTACTTAGAATACTTTGCACTTAGAGCCAAATGAATATTGTTATTAATGGGTCTTTCTGCTACTGCCAGTTTTTTCCCTCCTTTAGAATGTGAGAGTTGGGGCTCAGTGCCTGTAGTTCAGTGGCTAGGGTGCCAGCCACATACACTGGAGCTGGCAGGTTTGAATCCAGCCTGGGCCTGCAAAATGACAAATACAACCAAAAATTAGCTGGGTATCGTGGTGGGCGCCTGTAGTTCCAGCTACTTGAGAGGCTCAAGTCTCTTGCTACTTGGGCAAGAGAATCACTTAAGCCTAAAGAGTTTGAGGTTGCTGTAAGCTGTGATGCCATGGCACTCTACCAAGGGTGACATAGTGAGTCTCAAAATAATAATAATAATAAATTAAAAATTAAAAAAAGAGAGAATGTGAGAATTGGAAGGCCCTTTTAAGGTCATCTAGTTTAACCCCTTGTTGTTTCAACAAGAAATTGAGGTTGTACACAGATATCCTTGGGCAGCCAGAAAGTGAACCTCTGAGTCCCAGTGCAAGACAATATTATGCTTTCTCTTTTGTGTAGTTTACATCCATCACATAAATCTTTCTTTTTTTTTTTTTTTTGAGACAGAGCCTCAAGCTATCCCCCTAGGTAGAGTGCTGTGGCATCACAGCTCACAGCAACCTCCAACTCCTGGGTTCAAGCGAGTCTCCTGCCTCAGCCTCCCAAGTAGCTGGGACCACAGGCGCCCGCCACAACGCCCGGCTATTTTTTGGTTGCAGCCATTACTGTTGTTTGGTGGGCCCGGGATGGATTTGAACCTGCCACCTTAGGTGTATGTGGCTGGCGCCTTAGCCGCTTGAGCCACAGGTGCCAAGCCACATAAATCTTTCAATTGAACCTCTAGAATCATGTCTCATCTCCACTCCCAACTTTTTAAAAATGGCTTTGTAGTTCTCTTATGTTTCAAGTTCCCAGGCCAGTAAGATATGCTGACAAGGACTTCGTAACTTTCTGTTGCACTGATGCGTTCCCTTTTGAGTTTCTTTCCCAGGAATGGTTAAACCTCCTTGTAGCCATGATATTACTAAAGAGCTTTACACTACTCATTTGTCCAGAAAACACAAAATTAGCTGTACACCAACACAGATGGTACCCGAGGACACACTAAGCCTACACACAAGGCTGCAAGAATGACCAATATTAACCCCTAGCTCATTATATTACAATCCCTGCCCTGGGAGGGACTTATCCACCATTTTTCTTCACAGGATGTGTGTACTAGCATGAATTCTCATTATGCTTACGTGCCCCACACTCCACCTCAAAAACACAATGATGTTCACTCCCCTCATACATTATTCCTTTTACTTCTGGGAAAAAAACCCGGGACCCTTTTGGTTTGGAAGGCAGATTTGAGGTAGACTATGCCTCCCGCTCCCAGCAGATGCACCTCTCCTGCAATAAATCTTTTCTTCCTTTTTAGTCCTAGTTGTCTCAGTAATTGGCTTTCTGTACAGGAACAACATGAACCCCCTTTGTGGGTTTATTAACAAATCTGTTCCCAGGCTCTGATCCTATAGCTCAAGTGGCTAGGGTGCCAGCCACATACACTGGAGCTGGTGGTTTCGAATCCAGCCTGGGCCTGCCAAACAACAATGACAACTACAACCCAAAAAAAAAAAAAAAATAGCCGGGTGTTGTGGCGGGCTACTGTAGTCCCAGTTACTTGGGAGGCTGAGGCAAGACGGTCACTTAAGCCAAAGAGTTTAAAGTTGTTGTGAGCTGTGATGCCACAGCACTCTACCCAGAATGACAGCTTGAGACTCTGTCTAAAAAAAAACAAAAAATAGGGTGGCACCTGTGGCTCAGTGAGGGTGCCAGCCCCATATACCTAGGGTGGTGGGTTTGAACCCAGCCCTGGCCAAACTGCAACAAAAAATAGCCAGGCACCTATAGTCCCAGCTACAGAGGAGGCTGAGGCAAGAGAATCACCTAAGCCCAGGAATTGGAGGATTGCTGTGAGCTATGATGCCATGGCGCTCTATTGAGGGTGATAAAGTGAGACTCTGTCTCTTAAAAAAAAAAAAAAAACTATTTTGGGCAGCTTTCTTCAGCCAGTTGATCTGATAGTTGGGTCATCTGTGTTTCTGTGTTCCTGGCGTTGTGTGTATGTGTGTGTGTGTGTGTGTGTGATTTGTACTCCATTTTATCCCTTGTTAGGAACTTACATGTAGGTTACATGTAGGAATATATGCCACCATGTTAAAATCTTTACTAATGGACATTCTTATTTTATTTTTATTTTTTTTTGAGACATAGCCTCAAGCTGTCACCCTGGGTAAAGTCCCATGGCATCACAGCTCACAGCAACCTCCAACTCTTGGGCTCAAGCTATTCTCCTGCCTCCGCCTCCCAAGTAGCTGGACTACAGGTGCCCACTACAACACCTGGCTACTTTTTGGTTGCAGCCTTCATTGTTGTTTAGAGGGCCTGAGTTGGATTCCAACCCACCAGCTCAGGTATATGTGACTGGTGTCTTAGCCACTTGAGCCACAGGCACTGAGCCTTTATTTTTATTCTTAACTACAAATTTTAAAATATATTATTCATTTTAGTAAATTTAGCAGAGTTTCATTTTATATGAAATTTGACATTTTTCTTATAAAAATTGGCTAATGTACCTTTTCTTTTCTTTTTTTTTTTTTTAAAGCTTCCTTTCTTTTTATTTATTTATTTATTTTTGCAGTTTTTGGCTGGGGCTGGGTTTGAACCTGCCACCTCCAGCATATGGGGCCAGTGCCCTACTCCTTTGAGCCACAGGCACCACCCTAATGTACCTTTTCTAAATTTCTACATAGGCTGGTCCATCACCTATCTGACTTAAAAAAGAGCTTTTGTGCTTTCTGAATGGGGTTTTCTCAGAGACAGCAGGTAGGACACGGGATGGGGCTAGAAGTAGTTAGAAAGGAACATCAAAATATAAAGTTGCATGAGCACATCTCCTTTTATGAAAGGAGAGAATAATTTTAAATCACTGGTAAAAGTAGAATATACACTTTCTACTGTATGAAGTTCAAGTGAATAATTGAACTACATGAAATATGAGTTCCCACATCTAGAATATTATATAAATATGGTATCTTGTATTTATCGAATCATATGTGGCCTTTCTTTTATAGTCTGTATTCTCCCTTAGTATCCTGGTCACACAGAACTTTTTGTTTTCTTTAACTGTTGGACTCAGAAATTTCTTTAAATGAGGACATTTTATTCTGTTATGGCAAGTTTTTTCTGAGTAGGTTTTCTGATTTTATCTCCCTTTCTACCAGTTTGTCATTGAATCTTGGGTACTAACAACAAAGTATATACTTACAAGTAAATATTATATTCATTAAAAGACTAAATCACCAATAACTGAGAAAATGACATGAAGGCTGTATTGACCAGTTTGATGGAAGTAGTTCGGATTGCATGTGAAAACCGCACACTGTACCCCAGAAGTGCATTAATGTACATAGTTACCATTCAATAAAAAAAAAAGACTAAATCACCCTGACAGTCAATAAGTAATTTTTAATGGTCCCATTAAAACAAAATATAACTAGTTCAATTAAAACTTCCTGGCTAGCCTCAAAGTTAGAGATCATCCCATCCAAGTATGAACTGTCTTATAATCTACTTGTTACTGACAAATAAAACTTTTTCATAAGTCACTGTGATGTTAGCAAATGTTGAAGTTTAGTGTATTTATGAAATTGACTTTTGAAAAATTTATGTAAATTGAATTCACTGTAGATAATATCATGTTCAGTAATTATGATGTCAGCTATATTCTAGGAGAAATAGTAGTGCTTATACAATACACATACACATCTCCATTAGAAGCAAGTTAATATAAGGACTATGTTATTTAATAACATTATCAAAATAACCATTTGTGCAAATAGGAAGCAACTTAAAGCTAAAAACATATGTGATTTTTCTTTTTTTTCTTCAGTTTTTGGCGGGGGCTGGGTTTGAAACCGCCACCTCCAGCATATGGGGCTGGCGCCCTACTCCTTTGAGCCATAGGTACTGCCCTGAGTTTTCTTTTTTCATTAACCTCAATTCTGCTGTAGCTTGTGAGCCACCAAAAAATTTTTTTGTTTTTTTGAGACAGAGTCTTACTCTGAAAGCTGTTAGTTTTGAGTGAGGCCCAGAACAAGAGAAAGCTCTGCACAGGTGCAGGCTTCTCTGTCACTGGAGCCATATGACCCAGCAGATCCAATGGTGCCTCTTGAGGTGATGATAGCAGACAGAGATGCTGTCTAGCCTCTGGAGGGCCTCTGTAGATGAGTCATTGCACAGGCCCTTAGGAGTTTGGAGCAAAGCCCTGACATTTTATGCAGGTAACTACTCTTCTTTTGAGAACCCTTGGTATAGAGCCATGGCATCATAGCTTACAGCAATCTCAACCTGTAGGGGTTGAGCAATCCTCTGGCCTCAGCTTCCCCAGTAGCTTAGACCACAGGTATGAGCCACTGCGCTGGGACTAAGCAACCAATTTAATCACTTGTTTTTATTTCTTCATTTGTAAATTTCAAATCTACAAGTAATGTGGTAAACTTTTTGATTCTAAACCGGGTGAGGTGGCTCACACATGTAACTCTAGCACTCTGGGAGACCAAGGCAGGAGGATTGCTTGAGCTCAGGAATTCAAGGGAGACCAACCAGAGCAAGAGTGAGACCCCATCTGTACTAAAAATAGAAAAATTAGCCAGGTGTTGTGGCAGGTGCCTGTAGTCACAGCTACTCAGGAGGCTGAGGCAAAAGGACTGCTTGAGCCCAGGAATTTGAGGTTGTTGTGAGTTAGGCTAACACCATGGCACTCTAGCCTGGCAAAAGAGTGAGACTCTATCTCAAACACACACACACACACGAAAACCCTAACTTTTTGATTCTAGAACTTTGGACAAGATCTTTGTTTTTCAGTTAAAAATAAAACATAGGCTGGGCACAGTGGCTCACACCTATAATCCCAGCACTTAGGGAGGCCAAGGTAGGAGGATTCCTTGAGGCTAGGAGTTCAAGACCATCCTGGGCAACATAGCAAGACCATAATATGACAGATAAAATTTAAATTTAAAAATAAAGTAAATAGGCCAGGCATGGTGGCTCATGCCTGTAATCCTAGCACTGTGGGAGGCTGAGGCGGGTGGATTACCTGAGCTCACAGGTTTGAAACCCACCTGAGCAAGAGCAAGACCCTGTCTCTAAAAATAGCTGGGCACTGTAGTGGGTGCCAGTAGTCCCAGCTACTTCGGAGACTGAGACAAGAGAATTGCTTAAGCTTGAGAGTCTGAGGTTGCTGTGAGCTGTGACACCACGGCACTCTACCGAGGGTGACAAAGTGAAACTCTGCCTCAAAATAAATAAATAAAAATAAAATAAATAAAAAAAAACTTAACTCGATTTTCTTCTCCAATCTGTTTCTCCCGGCTACCCATAGTAGACTGTGTCACTGCTTAGTCTCCTCTCTCGTCACCACTATCTCTTCAGATGCCATCCTTATGCCAATTTCTTTATATTTAAAGCATTTCTATGTTTCTATGATAGGATCAGCCCTCCCACCCTTCTTTCCAGCACTTCTCCCAAGTCCTCTCCAAAACTTTATCAGCTGTGCTTTTTCTCCTCATAAGATCAGGATTACAATATTGGTCCTATTCTGAAGTTATAAGAAAAATTTTGGCAATTTATCCAGTTTGATTCTAAAAATTAGAAACCTTAGCAGAGCATGGTAGTACATGCCTATAGACCCAGCTACTTAGGAGGAGAGGTAAGTGGATTGCTTAAGCCCATGAGTTTGAGGCTGCAGTGAGTTTGATTGTACTACTGTACTCCCACCTGAAGGACAGAGAGACCCTGTCTCTAAAAAAAGAAAGAAACCAATAAAAACATTTATATTCTGCTGAATTAATTTAAATGCTTAATAAACAAATGTACTAGGATTATATTCCTTTGGTCAAATATAGAGTAATCACATCCTAAAGTCCACACAAAAGACGTGTTTCTATAGCCAAATTTGAAAGAACACACTGACTTCCCAATCTCTCCCTCTCTATGCCTCTGCAGACACCTACAGAGGGAGAGTATGGGCTCACCAACTCTCCTGTGGCTGCAACGGACCCACTGGGCCTACAACTAATGAAATTCTAATGTGGTCAAAGTTTCTCCACAAGGTCACCTTCTCACCAGAAGTACAGCAGAATTTCCATTTCCTCAGAGCCTCACACACTGACAGGCTTTGACAATTATTTCCATTTCTGGGTTTTGTGGTGTTACATACTTTGATTTCCCTGAAACTTGCTCAGTTAAATAGCTCTACCTGTGTAGATGGACATTTGCACTGCTTCTTCAGATGCTAGGTTAAATTTTGCTATTAGGGCAATGTGCATGTAAACAACTTTGTCTAATTGGAATTTGTATTTCACTTTTGTTATTTTTATTTTTTTTTTT